AGAGTCTTTTATTTTGAGTAAATAATTAGAAATCTAAAGAAACTATAGGAGATATAGTAAAAAATTTCACATCGTTGTATTTAATTGACAGTTGTAGGTGATCGTAGGCGGAATGGGAGCCAGTGGGTAGACAATCAAACTTTGTAACCTAGGGTACCATTTTTTTTAAACCGCCAAAAATCCATTTATGATCCAAATAAACTGAACTTTCAGATATAACTACTCCTTAAGAAGACCTACAAAAAATACGTACATGTGTTGGTTATCCAAAAATGTGATGGCCAAAAATTAATTTATGATTCATATAAGGTAAACTCTAAAATATATCTACTTCTTAAGAAGGCCTACAAAAACACGTACATGTGTTGCTTATCTCTCTTGATTCAAGAGATATTTAGGTTTACATTTTGTTTACAATTTCCCGAAATTTTTTTAGTTTTTAGATGTGGCGGACCTACAAAGGGTCGAATTTTATTTTTTAATATTTATTGTTTTCTGAACAAATATGGATATTCAGGCAATTGGAAAAAGGTCAAACTACGACTTAAAACTATGGAAATCATTCTGCTCTTGATAACATTGGATAGTGACATTCTTGACATACTCCAGATCAAATACATATGCATAAAAGGGTTTGTACCGATTCTTCTTCATCTAAACAAATTGAGCAAAGGTATTTTTAAATACTCTTTGATTGATAACAAATTTTAGTGCAATTGATTGAATAAATATAGCAGAAATTTGTACTATATATGGATATACATAGGTGTCAAGTACAGGTATATATAGAATTTCGTCCAAAGTAGTAAACCATATGTTAGGATAGATCTTATGTACATATAGTGCATAATGTAAGATTTAAGACTCTATCTCTAAAATTATGGCAGAATATTTAGCTTACCTTGGAAACTTCAGCTAATGTGGTAAAAATTATGGGTCTTTTTATATTAGCCCAGGAATTTTAGATAGTTAAATGAAAATCTGCACACAGCTTTTCCTTAACATTATAAATAATGTTAGGGTTAAAAATCAGTACACAGAGGGGAACAAATATACACGACTTGGTACCAGGCGTGTATATTTTTTTGACACCAAATTTTTCAATAACATCCATTGTCAAGTATATAGTTAACAACGTTTGTTAACTTTTAGACAACTTTTCGTTGTCAACATTACATAGTGTTGTCGTACCTATGTATATAGTTGACAACGGATGTTATTAAAAAATTTGATATCAATTTGGTACCAGGCGTGTACATTTTTTCTTTCTGTGTATAAACATCGTGGTCGATATTCAAGATATTGACCGTTAAAGCAATGTCTGTCTATTGGAAATTGTCGATATAGTTTAAATCTCCTTAAATAAGATCCTAAGACGAAGCCTTGTGTCAACTTTCATTTATCTCAAATTCCCCAGTTAAATAATTTTTCAACTAATTTTCCTAGGCTATATATGCGGCTATTTTGGTACCGATTTCACTCAGCCAATTAACTATTTCACTAAGTAGAGTCGTTATTACATGATCGCTTCTAACAGACTAAAATAGCTCGTGTTTTCATTGAACGACTTAATGTCTAACTCCATGTCTGCCTTGTTTCCTTTCTTTTGTTTCTGGTTTTTGAAAAGTATTTTCTCTTAGCCTGCTTGTGTGTGTGTGTGTGCATCTAAACTTTGCTTAGTGTACATCAAACTTGGCTCTCAATGAGTAAATGAATGAATTGTGTAATAATTTTGGTAAACTTACATCCGTTCATCCTATGGCGCCAAACTCCTAAAATTGGCGAAGTAACAAACTTAGTAATTCTCGTACAAGAAATAAATACAAATTCATATATTTTAAAACAAAAAGGAAAAATTGAGAGCAATTGTCTAACCAATACCAATAGCATAGTTTTATATACAAACTAAAACAACTGACATACATACAAATAAACAACAGTGAGCATTTGGTTATGCTTCATTTGATTTTGGCTTTGGAGTAAGAGACAGGCAATCGAAAACAAAATGAAATGTTAAAAATGAAATGAAATGTTTTCCTCCTTAAAATAATATTTCCAAATCATATAAATTCAAATGCAAAATTTACATTAACCAGCATTTACTTGGAAACCACAAAAGGGATAAAGTTACATTTTCAATAAATAAAAAGTTTTAAACTAAAAAACAGTGTTAAATAAATTTATATATAATGGGATTGGGAAATTTGGTAAGAAAGAAAAAATTGCAAAAATAAACAATTAATTAAAAAATAAATCGGCATTGATAGAAAATAATTTAATAAAATTATAAAAAAATAATTCAAAAAAAAAAAAAAAAAAAAAATTATAAAATAAATATTTTTAAAATATGAAAAAAAAATCTAGAAAATGTGAGCATAAATAAATCTTGATTTAAACGTCATGCACAACGTCATATGTGTTTACGTGTTTAGATGTAACTATTGAATACATGACATTACTCTCAAAATTATCATCATCAGCACCACTGCCATCACTTTTACCATTATCATCATCATGGATTCACTGGTGTTGCATGAATACATAGTTTCAGTGAGTGAATGAATGAATGAAAGGGGAGTGTGTAACAAATCACAAACCACATAAGCTCCAAACTTAAATCAATCAACTAAGCAAACATAAGCCAACATAAACTTTAGCTTTAAACAGATGACGATGGGCTCACAGCACACATTCAACAGAAGATACGAGCGATGATAATAGACAATAACTAAAGCAGGAGTAGATCTCTGCAACATTAGGAATCTATGGATTTAGCTATACACATATACATACCTAGTGTCTGGCTCACTAACTGACTGACTGACTGCTTATTATTTAGTGTTGCTGCTGCCTTTCTATGGAGTATGTATTTATGAGTGAGTTTATGGTGAGGAGTTGAAAATAATAGAAAAGTGTTTATGGCAGTATATTAAATCCAAATTGCAAAATGGTATTGAAACGTTATAAAAATGTGTAAAAAAATGCAAGAAAATAAAACAAATGTTGAAAAAAGAACCTATTAAGAGCAGAATCAAAGAGAAGAATGCTTAGTTAACAGACTTAAATCATTTAAACCATCTTCAGAGAACTCTATTAAAAATTACACTAAAGTTATTGCTGGTTTATTACAGAAATTTTGTATGGAAAAATTGTTTTTTAAACCAAAAGTAATCCATTGGTAACTTTATGAATATTAGGGTCATTATTTATTTGCCGCTGATCCAAAACAGTATGTTCTAGATCTTTGTAAAATTCTAAGACAATCACTTTTTTGAATGACTACCTCCGCTAGGTTAGTTGATAGTGTTTTAATATATCATTCCTAAGGTTGTGGGTTCGATTCATACCAGACACACTGGTAAAAGAACACACAACACTATGTACAATAAAAATTAAAAATATTTTTATAACCTACACCACTTGTAGTGGGAAGGGTATATTCGTTTTATAGAATCGTTTTCTGAGTCGATTAAGCTAAGTCCGTCCGACCGTCTGGCTGGCTGTCCATGTAAACCTTGTGCGCAAGGTGCAGGTCGCAATTTTCAAGATAATTGTATGAAATTTGGCACACACTCTTTTATTGGTCCAAGGACCAAAATGGTTGAAATCGGTCCATTATTTCACCTAGCCCCAATACAACAGAACCCCCGAAAAGGGCTTCTGAGCTCATAATTATGTTAAGTATACCTGTATATGGATAAAAAGCGCCACAACTAAGTTTTGTACAAGTATTGATAGCCTTGCCAAATTTCATAAAGATCGGACCTCATTTGACCCTAGCTCCCATACAAAACAAAGTCCCCTTCAGAAAATTACTTGAATGTCCAAAATTAACAAATAAATATTATATAATTGTTCACAAAATTTTATCGGGTTTGGTCCATATTTGCCGCTAGCCCCCATATTAAGCCTATTTCAGAATATGTATTAGTTTTTCATCCATAAATTGCTTAAATGTATCGGAACAAGGTAATATTGAAGATAAATTATGAAAAATAAATCACATTTAATATTCATAACTGGCGGTCGGCGTGACCGACCGCCCGACTATATTTTCTTACTTGTTTTTTTTAAAGGGACCTCAATTACATAAAAATTGTCTGCAACCTTTTCAAAATGGGTCGCAAAACTTCCATAATATTGAGCTTATTAGAGATAAACCTGACATCTATTCACCAAGTTTTAGGATTATTTCAACGAAATGAAGAAGGTTTTACATCAAAAGCAAAATAAATGTATACCTTTCTCTTCTAAAAAAATACGAACATTTCATAATAACAAAATCATAATAACTTTCAACAGGATGCATACATAGATACGAATTTATAATAATGTTTTAAAAACAAAAACATTGTATTTAATATAATAAATAATATAAACATTGCAAAACAATTGAGATGTCATTTATAAAACTTTCCTTATTGTTACTTCCCCAAAACTATTTTTGCCTGTTATAAATGTGCACAATTTTACATCATGATATGAAAACATAAATTTACATTTAACTAACAACAACAAATGCAACATCATCATTATCATTATGAAACATAATCTTCTTTTTTTTCTTCTTTTTTTTGGTATTTTTTCAAATTCATATTTTGCAAATGCATCAGCAAATGTTGTACATGGTGGCAACGTTGTTAATTGTCTATGAATTATCATTAACAACAACAAGAGCAACATCATCACGATATGCAATGGCTGTTGCTGTTGATGCAACTTCATCGTCATCGTTAAAAGTAACGGAAATGGATGTTAACAGTTTTACCCACATAAATAAGCCCTCAATGATGAATACTGGAATGGTTAATCGAATGCCACGTCATACAGTTCAAGGTCTAAAGCAGATGGAGCAAATGAATGAACAAAAACAACAAATTGAAGATCCATCATCATCATCATCATCATCACTAGCATCATCCGTAAATTCAAAAATAAAAAGAAGTTTTTCTAACGGTGGTGGCTGGGGAACTGCTAACTTTAATGGACTCGCAGGGCTCATGGGTTCATCACAACAGCACAGCTTTAGAACTAGTTATGATGCAACACCACAACAACAACAACAGTCAAATCAGCAATATCAACAACAGTATACAGAGGCAAAACCCATTTATGAAGAACAACAAGAAAACGATTATGCTGGCAGAGGAGCTGGTGGTGGAGCTGGGGTACATTCTAGTGCAAGTGTTGCTAATGCAGCAGCTTTACACTCGGCTATATATAATTTACAAACTGCTGGAACGCATAATGCAGCTGTGGGTTCAAGTAGTAGTAGTAGTAGTGCAAGTAATGGCGGAAGTGATGGTTTCCTGCCATCATGGAACTTTGGTAAACTTTCAACATCATTTATTGCTTCACAGTCAGCATCAACACCTTATGCCAGTAGCAGTGGCAGCCATAGTGCCTCCACTACTACCAATAATAACGATAAAATCTCTGAAGGCAATTTTCTGCATCATTACGATTCAGCTTCCGCCTTTAATGAATACACACCCCAACATGAATATCAACCATCATACCAGCAGCAACAGCTGCAACAGCAACAACTACCACAACATGAAAACTTTTACAACAGTGTGGAACATACGCAAGCCGATACCTCCTCATCATATGGCGATGAGCATGAACATGATAGCACCAACTATCCACCCTCTGCCTCAGCTGGCCACTTTTCCAACTATCAACAGCATGACTATGAACAACAGCAGCAGCAGGAGAAACAACCCGATGTCATCAACTATGTTCCATATCCTGTAGTCAAGAAACAGCATGTACCAGTTCGTGAACCTGTACAAATACCCATCTCACATGCAGTCATTATACCCGTTAGTAAGCCAGTTCCTATTCATATACCAGTTACACAAAATGTTCAAGTACCAGTGGAAAAGGAATTGAAAATACCTGTTGAACGTGTTGTTCCTTACCCGGTGGAGAAGCATGTACCCGTACCAGTGGAGAAACGTGTACCATATCCGGTGGTGAAGTATGTCCCCATTAAGATTCCACGTCCCTTTCCCGTAAAGGTACCGGTTTTTAAGACTGTCTTACATAAAGTTAAAGGTTGGTGGTAAATTATGTGAGAGGAAAAGAGGTCAACTTGAGGGCAATTAGCATGAAATGCAGTATTTTTAGTTTAAAACTATTATGTATTTGTTGTTTAATTTGAGGTATTTTGCTTTTTCTCTCAATCTCATGTTCTGTTACTATAAGTTTAGGTATTTTTTAGGTATAATGTTTATTTAAAGTTTTGTTATGTTTCCTTTTTATTTTAATAAATAATTACTTATAAATATGTTGTGTTCTTATTTTTTAACAAGACATACATAAATGGAAACTAAATCAAAGTTGAAACCCCTATAAGAAGTATTTCTTCTAAAAATTTCCATCTGACGGAAAGCTATAGAATCGACAGATTTTGCACAAAGCACATTGGGGCAGAATCGAATTTTTTTGGAATTAAATCTGCCCTTTCTAAAGGGCTAGTCTGTATCCAAAAAGCATACGAATATTAAGATTTGAAAATGGACCCCACAAATGCTTCAGGGGTATCCCTAATAGGAAACTTTAGATAGAAATTTTAGTTTCACAATCTCAAAAAGCAATTAAATTTTTAACGTTTTTTAAACTGACAAAAGGTAAAAGGAAATCAAGCAATTCCCAAAAACATAAACGAAAATCCCAAAAATGGAATTTTTATAATTTTGTCCATAGGTTCACATCCCTTTGAGGTCTGGAAAAATACCTCGGAATAAATAAGGAACACATAAAGGTTTCCGAAACTGTTTCCCGTTTTGCGATCCCAGCATTGGGATTTTACAATATGATTCCAAAAGTGGAAATTTTTATAAAAAATATTGATCAAATTTAAAACACTGTAAGTGCAATATGCATATACCTTTCAGATATATGTACAGTTACACTGTGATACAAAAGCGAAGAAAAATTAATGCAGGGGTTCTAAAATATGTACCAATTACATTTCATTGTAGTCCATATAAGTAGTACGAATATATTTTTATACCCACCATCAGAAAAGATGAGGAGTATATTGTTTTGTCATTCCGCTTGTAACACATCGAAATATTGGCCACAGACCCATAAAATTATATATATTCTGAGTTCTTATTAGATTCTAAGACGATCTAGGCATGTCTGTCCGTCTGTCTGTCCTTCTATCTCTCTGTCTGTTGAACAGTATAGAGTCCAAACGTAATAAGGTAGGGAGCTAAAATTTTCCACAAATATTTTTAGTTGATGCAGTTTGTTTTGTATTGTAAATAGGCAATATCGGACCACAATTTCACCTAGCCCCCATATGAGGTTCTCTTCAGAATATTAGTATAACACATATAACTTGCGTAAAATAACATATATAGCAATAAAATTCGACATAAACAAGTTTCATGGGAACAAAAATCTCCCACTTTAATTTTATAGGGATCGGACCATAATTGGCCCTACCAACAATATATGCCAGTAACGATATTCTACATAAAGCAGTTTTATAATTTTATATGGACCGGGCCATAATTGACCCTACCGCCTTATAAGGCCTCCCTAACTAACTTCGAACTGCTAGTAAATCAACAAAATTTTACATAAACTACTTTTATCGGAACAAAAATCTCCCCATTTAAGTTTATAAGGATCGGTCTATAATTGACCCTACCCCCCAGATGAGATCCCCTTCAGAAAATGACTATAACGCTCATAACTTGCTTTAAAATGCCAGTAAAGCAACAAAATTCGAAATGAACAACTGTTATCAAAACTAAAATCTAACTGACATATAAGGTCCCTTTCGAAAAATTACTATAACGTTCATAACTTGCTTTAAAATGCCAGTAAAGCAACAAAATTCGACATAAACAAGTTTTATCGGAACTTTCAGAAATTGACCTGCAATATATGACACATGATTTGATGGTGGATATACATATTTATAATAAGATTCGGCATAGCCGAAACACTTTTACTTCTTAGTTTTCCCTTCGTTAACTTACTATTTAAGAACAAAAGATGCGAAAAAAGAGTCACTTTTGAAGATTTAAAAATTTAAAAAACATAAATTTGGTAGTTTTCAATCGATTTTCATATCAGATATTTTGTTTTAGGAAGTTAGACATTTAAATGTATATCAAAGATTTTGAAAGTTTCCGAATAATCTCATTGTACTTGCAACACATGCATAAGCTATAAAAGTATTTGCAAAGTATTTTTTAAGAACAAATTTTTGAATATATAATTTAATATGCTTAAATTTGCTTTAAAAACAAAAAAACTCTTTCTCAACCTGACAGGCAAATTTATGGACAAACTGTTTAATCAAGATAATAAGGTAAATTATGACAAACACTGTTTTTATGCAGCATTAATGAAGACATAAAAATAAATATAATTCATTTTGTTTCGTTTTTCTTTTATAAGTATTTTATTTATTTTTTAAGTAAAACATTTAATTACATGAAAGAAACACCACCCAAACATCTAGGTGGTAGATGTGAAAGAACGAACAGAAATTATTGTAACAAAATGTTTTGCGGTCTCTAGAATAACAAAATTATAATGAACGTAAAAAAACACTATCATAAAAACCAGAAAAAGAAACAATAAAAACAACACCAGGAATGTGAAAAAATAATAATAAGTAGCAAACAAATCGTAAAATAATAAAACAAAATGCAATAAAAATAATACGGAAAAACAAAACTAACAATTAAAAAAAACAAAATTATTATAAAAATCAAATTATACGGAAACAGTAAAAAACAAAACCAAAGACACACCCATCTATTTAAGGGACAAAAATAAAAACGAAACATGGAATTCATGACGACAAAACAACATTTAGGTAAATGTTTTAATCCGGATATACACTCACTCATACGTGTGCGTTGTAATGGATGACAGTTATTAAAACCTTGCTGTTTTAAAGGTTGTAAACATGTCAAATTTGCGCTGTGTTTCTTTATAATGCTTACTTGCATCTGGAACTTCATCTCTTGGCCTATATGTGTCCTTGGTCATATTAAATCAATCTCTTGAGCATCAAAACCTTAGCCAACAAAAATATGTTTAAAGCCATAGTAAAGCCATTTCTTGCTAAATTTTATATATTCTTTTATTCCAAACGTTTTTGGTCCTTCTTCAAAAAGTCCACAAATTCGTCAATTCGAATGTGATTCCACATTACACAGGGTACTGTTATATGTACGTACATATATATATATGTATGTATGCATGATTTTCATTCGTTTTGTTGGTCAGGTATAGTTCTGATATTCGTATCTTAAAGGTTAAAGGAATTAACAAAAACATGTCATTTTACATGTTGTCAAATGATTAAAACACAACAGCAAACACATCCGCATACAAATTTTTCCAAACATACAAACACATTTCACAAATTTGTAATGAAAATATTCACAATAACCAGGGATGGAGAAATAAAATACACATACTACAAACATATGTATAGAATAAATGTAATTTTTTGGAGCCAAAGTAAAATGTAAATGTCAAATCACTCGACTCACCATTCCTGATATCTAAAATAAAGTTAAATTTCGAAATTCAAATAAAATGTAAGTAAAAGTATTGTTGTTACATTCTTTTTTGTTAGTTTTGTTTTATACAAAAAGGAAACCAGAAAATGATTGCATGTTGAACATGATTGTAAATTCAGTAAATTGTAGTATGTTTTATATTTCTGTATACATATGTATGTAGAAGTTTTGTAGATATTTATAGATTTTTTTATTTTAATTATCTTAAACAAGATGGCAAGAATTGGTAAGAGAAAAATGTAACTTTTACAACAAGTTTAAATTACAATAAGTCCAACAAAAGAAATATGAAAGTAAAGAAAATGCTTATTTTAAATTCAGATTGTTTAATTAGTTGTGAAATATATTTATGCATAGTAGTAGCAAATAGTTATACTCTCAAAATCTAATATTTTTCATAGAAAATTTATTACACAAAATATTTCATCCTTTAATGCGTGCCACTTAACACGATTCGAACTATAACAGAAAAAAAAAAACTAACAAATCAACATTATGAATGTCTGTAGTTAATTTTATATGTGTTAGAAACTATGTTTTTTTCTATTTAACTTATGTAACTTTCATTTCAAATGGCCAACGACTTAACCACTGAGCTTTTGTTTTTTTTTTTCTCTTGGTAATTTGTTGTATTTTTTCACTCCATCATAAGTGGTGGGCTAAACACGCATATTTAATTAGGCAAAACTATAAAACACATAGACATACAAAAAACTAACCTTCTATACAAGCGAGGCAGCAACTTGAACTGCCAACAAAAAAACGCCAACTTTAAGAGGAAGTGGGTTTTGTACTAGACGTGCGCTAAAGAAATCCTGCATGGAAATAAATTAAAATAAAAAACTCAGTTAAATGTAACACTAAAAATAAACTACAAACTTTAGTTAAGTAAATGAAACAAACATTTGATGGTTAACCGAAACAACAAAAAAGGCACAAAATAACGAAATATACATTTACTCATACATACACTAAGATCAATTAGATGAAGTGCACCTTCAAACCACCGTATATATCAACTTGAAAGGAACTTTTTTACAATCAGCGATAGAGAAAGTCTGTTCGGTTGGTACTAACTAACTAACTAACTAACTAACTAACTAACTACTAACTACTAACTAACTAACTAACTAACTAACTAACTAACTAACTAACTAACTACTAACTAACTAACTAACTAACTAACTAACTAACTAACTAACTAACTAACTAACTAACTAACTAACTAACTAACTAACTAACTAACTAACTAACTAACTAACTAACTAACTAACTAACTAACTAACTAACTACTAACTAACTAACTAACTAACTAACTAACTAACTAACTAACTAACTAACTAACTAACTAACTAACTAACTAACTAACTAACTAACTAACTAACTAACTAACTAACTAACTAACTAACTAACTAACTAACTAACTAACTAACTAACTAACTACTAACTAACTACTAACTAACTAACTAACTAACTAACTAACTAACTAACTAACTAACTAACTAACTAACTAACTAACTAACTAACTAACTA